TTGGACATCAGGGAAAAGATGGGCAGTTTGTCAAGTTTGCATAAAACTTTGCCTAGCCGCTAAATCCCCATACCAGACACATTCAATTAAAAACAAGCTTGAGCTTTAAGTACCTTTAAATGCACAGTTCTGCCATTTCCTCTCTATCATTATAGTCAAATACTCTGCTTATACTTTCCGAGGTTCTGACAGAAAATGGATTGAAATTGCTAGAAAATTACACAAGATAATGTAACTTAAAAGGGATGGAAATAGAAGGTTTGTCTGTGTGAGACTCTAAAAAAAAAAAATAACAACCCAGAATAAAGCAGGGAAATGTAAATTGCAGGAAATCCATTGCAGCACTTAAATATATATGCAAATGTTCAGAATGCACGCTGGAAAATTAATTAGCTCGCTTTACTTTGCTGATGAGGTTGCAGGAGGAAAAATCTATGTGGTTTTAAAGTTTGATTACTCGAAAATTATTTTCATTTAGAGAAATGATTATACATTAAAACGCTCTCTCCTGCGACTGACAAAACATCAAGGCTTAAGGTGCAACAGCATCTCAAAAGCATCAGCAGGGCTGCAAATCTACAGCGCTACTGGCCTAGTTTATTAATGTATCGGGGAAAAAGCATTAAAGTACTAAAATGTTCATTAAAAGGATACAATTCAAACTATTAACAATGACTTACAAAGCCACCCACAACTCTGCTCCCGGATATATCTCAAACCTTGTCTCAAAGTATGACCCTAACCGTCCCCTCTGCTCCTCCCAAGACCTCCTGCTTTCCAGCTCCCTCGTCAACTCCTCCCATGCTCGCCTGCAGGACTTCTCTAGAGCCTCTCCCATCCTCTGGAACTCTTTACCCCAACCTGTCCATCTATCTCCCACTCTGACTGCCTTTAGTTGATCACTAAAGACTCATCTCTTTAGGGAAGCCTATCACTAGTCAAACTAACCACTGAACTCTCTCGCAAACAATTCATCTCCACACAGCTACCTCCTTCATGCATCACTTCACCCTCCCTTTTAGATTGCAAGCCCTCACTGGCAGGGCCCTCCTTACCATCTTGTCTTGAATTGTATTGTAAGGTCTACCTTATATTGTAAAATGCTGCGCAAACTGTTGGAGCTATATACATCCTGTATAATAATAATTAAAGTAGTATTAAAAACACTCAAACTTTTTCAGCTCATCTTCCCTGAACCTCCTGTCTAGTATAAGATCACAAAGGCCAGCAACTGTTCATCTACTAGCTTGGTGAAGGGATGAGGAAGGAAAGCCTGGGGAGGGTGGTACTTGATTTGCTTTGTCTGTGTGTTTGTGGAGACACACACAGCTTACTAACACACACACACACACACACACACGGGTGACTGCATATGGAGTCTGCAAATGACTCTGTTTGAGAAAGGAGTCACTCTAAAACAGAAAGTCACGACCAGCCCATTCTGCCGAAAACTAAAACTTTTAAACATCAAGGAGCAGGTCAAGTTAGCTGGTTTACCGCTTGGCTGTGAATACAGACCTGAACAGCAAGATCTCAGATTACATATAGCGTTGTGTTCCATTCAGAACCTTATTTGAATGCAAAACAAATGAACAAACTCAACCAGGACTCTGAAAAGGTTCTCAGATCTCCCACATCTGACCTCACCTGTTCTCTCAGACTGGAGAGCCGCAGCCTTGTTCATAAAGAACACTCCGATCTCATTACGGATGTTGCCGAGCCTCTTGAGAACCTGAGTTTTCTGGTCTGGGTTTTGGTCCTGGAGCTGGGTAATGATCAGGATTTCGTTGGCAGCTTCATAGCATTTGCAGCTAACGGAGAGCTGGCATTCCAGGTCAGTGATCAGGTCAGTGACAAAAGAAAATCCTATAAGACAAAGTTTCAGGATTACTAATATAATAACTACAGATCAGCAGTGTATAAACAGATCACAACTCCTTTGTGACTACAGGCAGTCCCCGGGTTACGTACAAGATAGGGACTGTAGGTTTGTTCTTAAGTTGAATTTGTATGCAAGTCGGAACAGGTACATTTTCCGCCCCTGCCACCAGCTATACAGGACTACAAATTCTAGCAATACTTTATACAACAATGCAGAATACCATCAGCTTTGTATAATGTTGTATAATGTTGCTGGATTTTGTAGTCCTGTATAGCTGGTGGTATTCAGCGTTGCTGTATAATCACGATGACCCATACAGCAGGATGTGGCTGCCTGGCGGTGCCTGCAGAGTCTTGTATTGGCTCCGCCAGGCTAAACAGTTCTCCTAAATGAAGTTGAAGGCAGTTGAACAGCCACCTGTGTGCATTGGATCCCCGCACAGCAACCGGCGCCGATACATACAGCTGTCACTCAGTGTCACCAACTTTTGCTGCAGTTCATTGTACAAAGTTTTTTGACAAGGATGGTATTGAAGAAAGGATGGTATTGAAGAAAACAGCCAGTGTTGCCATTTACCAGTGTTCACAGCATACAGATGAAGATGTTAACTTCAGGGGAAGAGAGGTCCTCTGAAGTCTGACAGGTGGTGCATGTCTAAAAACACTGCACACTCAAACATGAAGGGGGATCAAGGCAGCAAATCTCAGAGGGCTATTCACAAAAGGGTGAAGAGTTGGAGAAGTGATCAAGGACAACATAGCTGATATGGAAAGTGAGCCGATTTTGAGAATTGTTCCAAATCAGCTATTTTGTCCTATATTGTTCACTTCTCCAAGCTCTTCACCCTTTTGTGAATAGCCCTATCCGACTTCAGGTAACTTCACATCCCTGATTAAAGGCAGTGGAAGTTCAGTTGAAAAAAAAAAACAAACGAAAAAAAAAAGCTACCGATCGGCATGCTTTCGGACAGAAGAAACTGTGTAAGTCTGAATGCTTAGTGGTGATGAACTCACTCCTCGTATGCACCTCACTAGGACATGCTGCACCAAAGAAATCCAGCACAACACAAAGCAGTCAAAACACAGCTTCTGACCTACCATGTGTACCGCCCAATGACATGAACCTACAAACACATCAACAATGACAGTTATCAGCAGACCTATGCTTTGAATGTAGCTGCACATGCGCTTTTGGACTAAATGTAAATGGAAACACTGCAGAAAAGAACATTGGTATGTAACATTGCATTTTTTTTTGTTAGTTTAACATGGGCTTTCAGTGGGTTCTAGGCATTTGCATGTGTTTTTGATGAGTTTGCAGATCCAGAGCAGGTAAAATGGGGCCTGCTGCAGTTTTTTTACCTGCTCTGGACCTGCACACTGCGATGTGAACTGGAGCTAAAAATACCATAGGAATACATTGGATGCAGTTTTGATCCGGTCTGCACCTGCTCTGCGCTTGGTGTGAACTAGCCCTTAGACTGTTTTTAACTGACACACAGGAGAATGCAGTTCTGTAGTTGGTTTCCAATCTGTAATGTACCCTGCACAGGCTACAAAGCTTTCAGTCTGATAAATGCAATTGTGTGAGTTGAGCTTGTATGGGTTCATTGAACGCACTGATGTTAAGAGACATTTCTGCTTGTAGGCAGCTGATGGCAAGCGACTCAAAGGAGAGGCAAGCCTCCCAGCTGGTCTCTGAGTGACTGAATTTGGCAGTGGAACAAGCATGGTCTCTGTGAGGCTGGAGTTCTACTTTAAGCCTCCTCTATGAACGAGTGGTTGTGGTGCTCACCATCACAGCTAGATTCTCTGTGAAGACTGTGCAGGATCTCCTGGTCATCCTTTGTCTGGTAATTGTACTCCTCGAAATACGCAGCTCGGTTGCTTGCGTTTTGGGCCAGCATGAGCTGGATGTCTCCACAGAGAGCGAGGTACTGGCACAGCAGCAGCGTGACGTCAGAAACTTGGCTGGTACACAGGCAGCTGTAGGCATCTACAAAGAATGAGAGTATAATGTAACAGCACTGAAGATACTGATTCATACGTACTTTGTACGTATCAGCACATCACAATTTGACATGCATGCATCTCTGACAAACAAGGGGGAAGAGCCATCTGTCGTCAACATTTCCTATCCAAACCTCATACTGTGTGAATTGTGAACTGCATAATAATGAAGCTTTATTCACACACGTTTAGACGAGGTGGTCACACACACGCACGCACACGCAACAGCAATATAAAAAAATTAGATATATATACGTTCCTAAAAGAGAAATAGAGTCTGAAAAATTGCTGACTTCTCATTCTGCTAATGCTAGCTGCCGGGCTGTTATGCTGACCCTCTGGCTATAAGAAGAGTCTCAGAACAAGTATAGAGAAAGGACGTTTTGTTTTTCCAAGGCTAGGGTCACCCCTGCACTACACGACGACGCGCGTCCCGGGTATCGTGCGGTCCTGCACAATGGAGGCAGCGATTGCCGCGCGGCCCCATTGATTTTAATGGGGTGACATCCATGCGGCAATCGCAGAAAAAAAAAAAAGGTACAAGTGCTTTTTTGTTATAGCCGCGATCGTGTTCGGAAGCACGGGCGGAATCGCGGTGGGTATCCGTGCGATCCGCCCAGCACGACAGGGGTGCCACTAGAAAAATAATGGCACCCACAGCGCGATCGGTTCACACATTGGCGAATCCTGACCGCGCGGAATCGTGCACGATTGCCGCCCTATGAGGTGTCGCCTAGATGTGAACCTAGCCTCAGACCATCCAAATCTGCACATTAATTCCCGCTCAATAACTCAGATTACTGAAGCCAGTGAGTTACTAGCAAAGTCAGGTCACTAGCATTTTCCTGAAAGAGATTAACAGTGGCAAGCTCACCTTCAATTCCTGTCTGAATGTCCTCCATCACTCATGAATCACTTCTTCCCCTGATCCCCATCGACCTTGGCCCCCCTGCATTCAATCATGTTGTTCTCAAGCTTTATGTCAGAAAACACATCTTTGCCATCCCTTTATGCATGCGTGCATGATCAAGCAACCAATCAGAAGACTGCACAGCTAAGGTCTGCAGCATGAAGTGGCTAGCAGAGAGAAGCAGGCATGTCTAAAGGCATCAGGAGAATGTGTTCTTCTATATCAGGGATGGGGAAAGTCTGGCCCTCAAGCTGTGGTGAAACTACAAATCCCATGATGCATCTGTCTCTAGGAGTCATGCCTGTGGTTGTGAGACTCTTGTAATGCCTCATGGGATTTGTAGTTTCACCACAGCTGGAAGGCCGGAGGTTCCCCACCCCTGTTCTATATAATGATTTTGAAAAAGATCCCAGGCAGAAAGCTGTGACAGTAAGAAGAGCCTGCTGGCTCCTCCCACCAAGCTCCGAGCAAAGACACCCAGGAATTATATCAATTTTAACTGCTTGTTGATTGGAAGGGGGGCAAGGGAAGGTATTAATCTTCAACAATTACCCAGTAGGTACGTCTTTATAAATATAGAAAAGAATCTATACATCTCTTCTGCCATCATTTTTGTTTCCCCTAATTTTACACCGACAGCCACACATATGCAGCTCAGCATACAATCCCGGCATCTTCTGTGTACCAGGACAAAACAAACGTGGGTACGTCACTTGTGGCCAGCCAATAAAGAACTCTGGACCTGTGAGAAGATGGCACTGGTGATGACAGAGTGGATGTCTCTTCACTGGATTGGGCCAGTCTGTCATAAAGTGCAAATATGCTGTACGGACATGTACATTATGGTAAGATCGCCTGGGGAGGGGCAGAATAATAATAAAGGTCCGCTTTAATCAAGATCCTAAAAAAAAAAAAAGTCTGTTTTATTTACATTATTTTAGGTTTTCACTTCATCATACGGCTCAGTCCCAGGTCTCCATTCGAGCCAGTCTGCCGAACAGGAGATGATTACTGTTGTGGGGTCCCTTCAGCTATCCTGGATTCCTCCTATAGAGGATCCTATCGTGGGCACATGATGCAGTACTATCTTGCCCTCTAGCGGACACTACCTAGGAATATACATCCAGCTTATTTAGGCAGCTGGTTTCAATCAGAATCATTTACTCTGACACCTATCCAACAAGGTCATTAAGATAGCAAAATATTGAATATGATTTTCAGCAAATCTATAATCATAAAGTAGTAGCTTATATTTATTATAGGTGTTCGGATAGCACTGACAATTTACGCAGCACCTTTTACAAATCACACCAGTCCTAGTACTGAAAGAACATACAATCTAAGGTCCCCATCTTGTATGTATGTATGTATGTATGTATGTATGTATGTATGTATGTATGTATGTATGTATGTATGTATGCGCACGCACACCAAATTACTAGGCACAAATTTAGACAGGAGACAAGTAATCTGCCAGCATGTTTTTGGAGTGCCCAAAGGAAACCCACACAAGCACAGGGAGGACATGCAAACTCCATGCAGTGTTCTGACCAGGATTCCAACCAAGGACCCCAGTGTTGCAACTGTGCTGCCCCAATCGAGTTTTCCAAGACTGGGCCTGAGGGCACTTGCTTTGTGTATGGATCCTGACAGCATGAAGACAGGGATATGTTCTTCATGTCAGGCTGGACAATATTCGCTACAAGTCTAGCTTGACTGCTAAGGCATCATCATGTCCACCTTGAGGAAATCATCTAGAGCCATACTTGGCATACAGAGGTGGCACTCACAGGCTGGCGCTTAGAAAAACCGGATTCATTAGCATAAAAGGTAGTGCTTTACAATGCGAGTCACTTGCTCAGATAATTCAACATTTTCCTTATGCAACTTACCGTAACATTGTAACGCTAACTTGATATATCGCAGAGCTCGTCCATATTTCTGCAGGCTCATTGCAGCATCTGATAACACGTAATAGGCTTTGGAAGCCTTAATAATCAATTGCAGCTTCATTTTGAACTGCCAGGAGCCGGGAACAATCCCAGATCTACTGGAACACTGTTTATCCGTACATTCCACTAGAACAGAGAAGAAAAGGCGGGGTGTATTGTTATTTTCAGGAATGAAGCTTTAACAAACAACTCCATGCAACAGGGAGAATGGCCTAGTGAACTGCTAGTGCTGCTGAACTGGAAACAATGTGCTTGTCAAACTGTTCAGTATAATCTGAATTTTATTTAATTAACTGCAGCTGAATTTGTTAGGCTTGTCACACTTCTGGGTGGATCCGACGCCTCCTTAGTGCATCTTCCCTTGTGTGTGGTCAAGGCTACAATGTGGTCAGCGATAAGGAGGGGAGGAGTGTGTACTATGGAACACAATAATCTGCATTTTCTTACAATAGCAACATAGAGGGCAACTATGACAAGCCAAAGAAAGTTGGAGCCACTCTTCAGGTAGATTTCTTCCATGACGTGTTTAAATGCATAATTTAATGTTTCATTAGCTTAAACCAATAACGTGCAACTCGTTAACGTGCAAATTGTTCTTTGTTTTGTACAGAGTGGAAACCTCTGTCAGGTTTTTTACTGTTGACTTTTTCCCATCGTAGAGAGTTTTGTGCACTTCCTGTCCAAAAGGAGACAACGTAAATGAGTGGCAATTGGCACAAAATGAAGGGAAATCCCAGCTCTGACAGTGGTCACCAGCAGTACAAATGACAAGTGAAAATGTCAAGACTGTCCTCAATTTTACTCCTGGTGACAAGGGTTCCCAGGATAATTAATGAGGTAAAATCTCCCCAACAGGGACACAGACAGGAATAACAACCTGAGTTCTAAGTCTAGGCCTACACTGGAAATTAAATCTATTTGCTACTGAGAAACAACCGCTTGTTGTGCAGCACAATGAAATCAATGTGATGCTAATGTCAAGAAGCAACAAAGAGATTTAATTGCCAATTTAGGCCTAGCCCAGTTCCTATCTAGACTACATTTTTCCACTTATTTTGGCTGCCGTTATATGTTATTTGCTACTGCACAACAAAGCCACTCATCCGTGCTCTGGGCAGCCAACTAGTAAATATTAGGGGGTGCCCAGGTTAGTTAATAAAATGGCACCTCTAATATCAAAAACGTCTCATTTTAAAATGCACAGAAAACATTCTGGGCATCTGGTTTACAACATCTGTTATACTGCTGATTAGTATCGCTCCCAGTTATAGAACACGAGGCAAAATAGATCATAGTTTATGTACTAAGTGGAGGTCTCCCTTAGTGACACAGCTGCTTGGAACATCCTGCTACTCCACCAATCTAGACATTCAGTTTCCTCCAGCACAAGCTACATACTGCCAACAGAACATCCAGCTCTGGGTTAGAATTCAACAAAGGACCAAAACAATAGGACAATAAAAGGAGATCTGGATGCTGAGGCAGCAGCTGGAGAGAAGAAAGTTTTCAATAGAGTTCCAAGGAGTAAAGAAGACCTTGAAAGGGCAGATTCACATCATTTTCCGGATCAGATCTGGTGCGGAAAATGGAGTGGCGTGAACTTGCACGCAGTTCCACTACATTCCAGAACAAACAAAATTGGACCGGCAGTATTTTTATGGTCTGGAACAGACTGCGCTGGTGTGAACAGAGGCCAGAAATAGCATAGGGATACATTATGATGCATTTTGTGCCCGGAAACAATCCGGACATGTGTGAATGGGCCCCTTAGGGTTAAATGCAAACATGCTTCAGGCTTGTAACATCTACATGGAGGGACAGTGGGAACACTTACTTTTGTGTAGGAATAATTGCATCTGTTTCTCCAAGCACTCAGAGACCACATTTGCAGAATCGTCTTGATATTTCAGCGGGATGGGAGTGTTGGGGTCTGCTGCAGGCAGCTCTCCTTCTTTCTTAATACTCGCGTCAATAGACTTGAAGCCCTTAGGGGAACACAGACAGTTACAGCTGTTAGGAAACATACTGAGAAGACCTACTTAACACAGCAAATCATTGACAAACTTACCTCTAGAACATAGCCAAGCACCAATCTGCAGCGCTCCTCTGTGTCACTGCACACTGGGAAAGCACAGCTCGGCTGAAAGAAACAGGGATACAAAAAAAAAAAAAAAAAAAAAAAAGGAAAACCACAGGTTACTATCTGCTCCACACACAATGTATATTTCAGTTCTGAGGTTCAATGCATGCTGAATTACAATAAATAAGAGTAAAAAAGTTGCAATTCATGGGAGAAATATTCTTGCCTTGGGACACTTCTACTTACCCTAATCTGATGAGTGGACTTGTACTTTTCAGGAACGGAGAGCTCCCGGACTGATTTAATGACAGCCACAGCCTTGCTGTCTTCAGAGGGGTTTGGGGTGGAGCTGTAAGCTCCATTTTCATCACTGTCCCCCATCTCATCCTCTTCTTCCTCTTCACTGTAGCTCTCATCAGAGTTTCCATTGGAAGCGGCATCTACACCTTCCTCTTTCTTTGGCTCTAGCTGGAAAAGCTCGGAGAGCATGTAGTTGGCTGAAGCAATTATCTGATAGAAACAAAACAAAAAAGATAGATATAGAGATAGATAGATAACAAGCAAGAGTTTTTTTATATCCAGCAACTATGCTGGTACAACTGGGATAAGCCCTCCACCCCAAAACAAAATAAAAACAATTTTTTTTAATAATAATGGGGAAGAACAGCACGACATCGCCTGTCAATAATACTACCGCCATTCTATAAAGTTCTTCATCGTGCCTGTTCCTGGGAAGGGAGGTTATGTACAACCTATTACCTAGTCTGTTGGACCCCTTACTAATTTTTGCACACGAAAAAAAAAATTGGAATAAGAGGTCAGTCCCGAGAAAATAGATCTCTTAAAGCAAACATTGCACTTAAACACAAGGTCTGCTTATGTGTCAGCCTCCCACCCCCCCCAATTACATAACACAGGAGGAAAAAATGTGCAAATTAAAAAAAATACATAGATACCTTATTGCCTGGCTTACCTGTGTGACATCACTGGGTCTTCTTGGAAGATTCTGGGAAAGCTGAAGAACCCAAAATTCCAAAAAATACGCTTTGCTAAAGCATCATAAATTTTAGATCCTGAACTTTACCAATATCCTGCTTTGAGACCCAGTTACATCATCAGCAACAGAACAAGAGGAAGCAGCTAAAATCCAGAGAATAAGTCAAGTTTTTCTTTTTTTCTTTTACTGATTTTCTCCAGCAGGGGGGTTGCCACATAAGCTGACCTTAAATTTTAGTGCGAGGCCTGCTTTAAGAAATATCCCAGACCCCCACACCCTGACACTAGGTCTGCAGCCACCCAATATAGTAAATCTGGTTCACTATCAAACTACAGGAAGCTGGAAATATTTCTACACTCATCGTCACCAGTTAAGTCACAGAAATGTACTTCACTTGTTCCAGTGGTTATCACAATTTTGCCGCCTACCTTGTTTTTTTCCTGAAGAATGGGCCATGGTGCAAGCTGCAACATGGTAACTGGCACGCTTATACAGTAATACCTCGGTGCACGAACGCTTCTGTTCGTGAACAGGAAGTTCAGCAAAATGTTGCTTCTGTTCGCGAATGCCAAATCAAGTATTGAACACGCCTGCGGCCATCTTCCACCATCTGACACGTTGTCGTGGCTTCCTCTAGCCGAGATTGCGGTCGCAGACGTAACTTTTTCAATAATCGATTATAATCGATTATGTCGATTAATTGTTGCAGCCCTACTGTACAGTATTATTCAATCCAGCATGGCTCCAAATAAAGTGCAGTGCGGTAATGAATTTACATATGGTTCAGAACGGATTAACCTTATTTACAATGAACCTTATGGGGAAATTTGATTCGGTTCGCGACCAATTGGGTTCGCGACCAGAATCGTGGAACGAATTAAGTTCATGAACCGAGGTACCACTGTATAAAAGGTCATATAACAACATGTTCACTTCTGAGGGAGAATTGTACACATACCTGAGGATGTCTTCCTTTATCCACTAACTTCAGGCAGTTTAATAACAGGGTACGAATAGTTCCGTAATGTTTTCTATTTTGCGTTTTCTTTATCATCATGTTACAAGCCACCCTAAGTAATGAAAAAAAGAACAAAAGATCACTACCATGCACATAGCTGCCAATAGATGGCACAAGCGTAGACTTCTACAGAGCGAGGATAAGCACACAGTAGATCAGCTGCCTTACAGGAGCCGTGGTGGTTTTTGCAGCCGTTCCGCATCATGATGAATATTTTACAGAGCAGAATACCGGAGAGGATTCGGTTTTCGGTTTTGTTTATAAATGTACTCTAGGGAAATATCACAACTGACAATGATTACAAATACAAAAGTGTTCAAAGTCGTAAAGGCTTTTATTGATATTAGTGAAATAGGATTGAGGGATGGGTTTTAATTACACAACTCATCAGCAGTTAATTATACTTCAGCGGCTCTTTTAAAATCCCGCTGAGACAATGCTCTGTACCACTTGTCAATTTCCCAGATCTTCACACACAAATACTAGAACCTGTCCCAGCGCAGAGGGCTACATTGAGCATGTTGAGCCATTATAAATGTGAACTGACAACTCAGAAATACACTTGTGGCTATAAAATCACATTGTGCTGCTATGCGGTGTAAGGGCTAAAAGGTCAAGATCTTTTCCACCCCTTTTTTGTATCCCTCCTCATCCCTTTTCTCTCATCCTCCCTCCCTCACTCTTTAATAGGATAGCGCTTTAATATTTTTTTCTCCTTTACTCTGGCTGCTACAGGGTTGTTGGAAAACATCTCATCTGTTCCCCTTGGAACCTTGTTAGTTTTCCCCACCCTAAGCAGAGGCACCATGCACATGTTTTCAACATATCATCCATCCTTGGCGCTGCCATCCTCATGCCTCGTTCAGCTGCGTATCTGACAAATGCAGGACTATACAGTTGTATACATGCAGAAAATGTTATATTGTTATTATCTTGTTTTTGTATACCCCATTCCCTGAATCAATATATCTTCTCACATCCTAAATGAAAAATGTTGAAGAGTGAATTAAATCTTTGGTAAAATAAATGACTATGAGGCTTAAGGAGTAAGTTAAGCCGACATTTTTCTTAATGTCACATAACATCTTAGTGACAAAATAGAGCCCTGGCAGAAGACAAAGCAAAAGACCATCAAAACACTAGTAATAATACGACTTACTTGTAGAGGAGAACAGCCACTGGCATGGTAAATGGGTTCTGATATTTGTCCTCTGTATCTTCGCACAAAGTAGTGAGGTCATACAGTTTCACTATGTCACTACCACTGGCTGCCAAAAACACAAGAACAACATATGATGGTCATCAAGCTGCAACAATCCAATTATCACAGCAGGAGGATATATACTACTGAAACACTATAGTACAAGCGCAAACCAAAGAGGTCCCTGGCACACTTTCAAGCTAGGCAGCAAAACCACTAAAGCTGGACATACACATAGATTTTCTGCAGATTTTCAATGGTTAGATGGAAAAAGTGCAATAGATTCCTCCATCTACGCTAAACTGTGTGGATAGAGGAATCTCCCAGTGGGCCAAGCTTCAGTATCTTGCAATCGGCCCCGATGAACAATGCCTGTCTCCAAACAGATTGTTCAGGTATTTGACAGCCAGCAGGGCTGACTAGCAAGATACTGAAGCTTGGCCCAGTGGGAGATTCCTCCATCCACACAGTTTAGCGTAGATGGTGGAATCTGTTGCACTTTTTCCATCTGACCATAGAAAATGGGCAGATAATCTATAGGTGTATGGCCAGCTTTAATAATCTGTTTCAGCTACTCGGGTTGTATACATTTGAAAATACTGTATATGTGGGAGCCACACAGCTGCATCAAGATACCTCTGAACCGCTAAACTATCGATGTACTCAACTATGGAGGTACAGCAAAACACCAGACTTTGCATTTGCAAGGCAGGTAAAGACATCGATTGTTGCTTCTGGATTTAGTGCAGTCACACACACTGAAAGACATCAGTCGCCCTGCAAATGCAATGTCTGGACTTTTGGTGTGTTGCTGTACCTTTAAGGCGGTTGAAGGTTCTCCAGGTGAGCTTGCTCTGGTCTCTATTTAACAGAGCATTCATAAAAAAAAAAAACTAAAATGATAGCAGCAATTCCTTAACAGGGCTGAATTGTTTAGACTTGCGTTGGGGAGCAGTTATACTATATACAACAAGACACTCATCACCTTTTCAATATTCATTGCATACTTTTATTTTTCCAACTTCAATTGGGTTTAAAAAAATAACCTGAATAGCTATTAACACAAAAAAAAAAACGGAAAAAAAAAACACCACACACCATATAAATCTAAATACTCACACTGATACAAAATGAAATACACTGCCTGGGCAAAAAGTCACACACTCGAATATTTCGTTGGAACGCTTTTAGGTTTGATTGCGACACAACTTCACCAGGCATTGTTCTGATAAGCTTATGCAATGTCACAACATTGATTTCCATTCAGAGTTGCATTTATTTTTCACCAAGAACTTGTAGTGATGATGGGAGAGTCAGACCACTGCGTAAAGTCTTCTCCAGCACATCCCAAAGATTCTCAATGGGGATAAGATCTGGACTCTGTGGTGGCCAATCCATGTGTGACAATGATGTCTCATGCTCCCTGAACTACTCTTTTACAATTTGAGCCCGATGAATCCTGGCATTGTCATCCTGGAATATGCCCAATGTGCCATCAGGGATGAAATAAATCCATCAGCTAAATCCATCGGCGTGATCGGCTTTGCGCCGATCACGCCACCCCAGCATTAGGACTGCGCTGTCACAGAGTTCTCAGTCACTGTCTACAATCAGAAGCAAGTAGGATGGGCCCCCATCACTACTACTGTGATCACATGATCAGCAAGCCCCTGCTTTAACCCCTTCGTGACTGACGACGTACAGTGTACGTCGCCAGCATCGGGGCTGTTTAAACAGACTCCCGGCAACTTTTGCCGCCAGGACTCTGTTTATTTATTGATTTTTTGGGGTACTGCAGTTTTTCGCCATTTCACGGTCGCACGCAATCTGTAAAATGGGCATGTTGGGTATCGTTTTACTCGTTGTAACCTCATCTTTTATATTTCATTAAAAAAATGGGTAATTTGTTGTGTTTTGGGGCATTTAATTAAATTTGTCACTAAATTTTGGGGTATAAGGAGTTGCGCTAATATTGCGCAACATAAAAATTTTCAACTACCACCATTTTATTCTATAGGGTCTTGGCATTCAGAAAATATATAATGTTGGGGGGTTTTACGTCATTTTCAGGCCTAAAATGTGGAATATAACATGGGTGCAAAAATGGAAAAAAGGGCCTCAGTCATGAAGGGGTTAAGATCCCCTTCAAGTTCTGGATCCCCCAAGCAGAAAGGGGTTATGATTTATTAAACTGGTTCACATGTTGTTACTGATGCCAGTATAGTAAGGGCAGGATAAAAGGAAAACAGTCACACTCAAAAGGACAGTAAATATCCAGATTTGAAGTGGAAGTTAAAGAGCTGACAGAGGAAAAGCAGTCATAACCTTGTCATGTCTTACCTTTAAACAGCCAGTAAGTGTGGCCTTCTTTGGTGCAGTTGGACTTTAGGAAGGACAGGATATTCTGTGCTATGTCTTTGATCACTTTGGTGGAGAAGTTGGAGTTCTCCAGATTGGGGATATCTTCTGTTTTAATCATCTCATATTTCTGCAAAAGGTAAGAAAACGTTAGGCAGAATCCCTAGAATCCCATCTGCTACATTGAAAATGTCATTAGAATGTATGTACAGCTGAAAAGTGCATCAAATGCTGAAGAAGATTTTTCATCCAGAATAGCTCTTTAAGATTTGAGGTAGCAAGGACAGGAAAGTTCTTTTACAGAGAGCCGCTTTTTGTTTTTATGTTAAGGCAGAGTCACTTTATATTAAAATGCATGCTATTTGAGCTTGTTCTCTTCCTAAGCATTATTATAACAGTAGGGCAGTGTATAAACAGTTCACGTTACCTGCACAATGCCGTTCACATGAAAGCACATGACAAGTTCAGGTACGTTACAGATCAGATTGTCCAGCCAGTAATCAATCCCAGTCAGCACATTGATTGGCTTGTTATTATCCCTAAAAGAAAATAAAAAAATATCACAAGACATGACACGACACCTGATTTAAGACTTTACCAGTGAGAAAGGAAACTCATCAGCCTCTGGCATGAGGAATACGTTTACAGCTTGCTGTCTTCTGCAATATCATTGACTCGAAAACCTTCAGAAGTCAATTCACACCAATGCAAACATGTATTTTACATGTTCTCACAGGATGTTTGAAAATAACTTAATTTTTTTTTTAATGCATTTTTTTCATTTTAGTTTCCAAGCAAACCTCATGTCAAGGGCTCACACTCTCTGCATGTGATTATGGGCAGTTTTTTGTTTGTTTTTTTTACAAACACAACTGTGGTGAAAATGCAAAATGCAATATAGCTTCAAAAAATGAATCGTGGGGCAGCATATTTTTTTTTATTGTCAGTAGACTTGTTCCTGTGCTCTAGCACAGAAACAAGTCTACTGACAAAAAA